CACATTGAGGGAGGAAGCGAATTTCATGAGCTTACGCTGTACAGACCATACAATTTTGGGTGTGCACTTGAGTGCTGGACAATCCCAAAGCTGATTCTTCCCAGTGTCTTTCTGAAGCTGGGCATGTCTCTACCTGTGTGTGCTAGAGGAGGCTTGAGGGCCTGGCAAATCAGGACAGGGTGAGGGAGCCCAGGCTGGTGGAATGGGCAGGCTCAGTGGGACTCTGGTACATCAGGTGACACCCCAGAAGTGTTTGTGGGGGGGAAACCCATCACACTCCCTATTTTTAAGTTTCATTATGGCTCAATTGCTTTTATATAGCTTCACGTTCTATAGCAACGTTTGGGTTCAGCCATACCCACTACTCTTGACACTACGGTATGGCTATTAGGGATGGGATACTGCATGATGAAAGGTGCAGACTTTCAGAGGAGAGCTAAAACAGTGGTCCAGATGGCAATTAAAGATAGCATTTTATGAAAAATTGAGCTCCCATTGTTCTGATCGACATTTTCTCCCACATCCAATCTAAGGCCTTGTCTACATGGGGATATAGACTGGCACAGCTATTGTGGGGAGGTAGTGCAGAATAACTTAGAGCAGGTCTACATTACCTGGGGGGGGGTTCAGGTGACCTAAGTTATCCAATTCCAGCTTGCGCAAATAATGTAGCTGGAGTCGACATAGCTTAGATAGACCTTTTGCGGTGTCTACACCGTGCTGGGTCGACGGGAGAAACTCTCCCGTCGACTTAACCTTATGCTTCTCATTCTGAGTACTGGAGTCGCTGGGAGATCACTCGGCAGTTGATTAAGCAGGTCTTCACTAGACCCACTAAAATGCCCCCCAGTGGATTGATTGACATGCGTCGATTCTCCCGGTAAGTGGAGACAAGTCTTTAGTATGCAATAACTGTGCCAGTCAATTGCCCCGTGTAGACAAGGCCCGAAAAAAGAAGTTGTAATATGCAAGTCTATGTGAGCGTTACTCTGGTATGAATCATAACTGCTCAGTTTGAGAGTCTTCATACAAACTATTTAACTCATTGCTTTGTAAGGTGCTTGGAGGATAAAACATCCATAGAATCAAGGTTTTGTTTGTTTGTTTTATTCTGCAGATACTTCACTGGAACAATGTTTTAAAGGGAGCTCATCAACTTAAAACCTACACTTCTGTCTGAAAATGTAAAAATAGTTTATTTAAAACAAATAGCCCCCTAAGATTATTGTAACTGAAAGAGGAAAAAATATATATCTTTCTATTGTAAGTTTGACAATGGTGCATTTGACAGCACTCTGTATATAGTCAGTCTCACTGTTTTGCCTACATTGCAAGTCACTCAGATTCCTCTTTGGTTTGTGCAGAAAGAGGAGAGAAAAACATTTTTAAAAGTAGAAACATATGATTGTAAAACCATATAAATAGGCACAGGGAATTCAGGAGCAGCTGTTGGACCAGAAAATATTTTACCATTTTTTAAATTTATTCTATTTCAAGCTGATGATGCCCCTTTAAATAGTACCCAGGATTTCTGGATATTTGGGTGGGCCAATACTGCACCCCATAAAATGTTGCAAGACAGTTATTGGTATGTAAAGCACTAGATAAACGTATCCTTAGAGAGTCATAAAAGGTGCCAGGAGAAGAACTTCACTTTCAGAGAGAAAACAAACTGCTCTGCTGGTATGCAACTAAAAGTAAAGAGAGGACTCTTCACCAGTTCTGTCAAGATAAATACCAGGGATGGAGAGGAATTACTTACGCTCAGTACCAATGAGGACACAAGAACAAATGGATATAAACTGGCCATCAGGAAGTTTAGACTTGAAATTAGACAAAGGTTTCTAACCATCAGAGGAGTGAAGTTCTGGAACAGCCTTCCAAGAGGAGCAGTGGGGGCAAAAGACATAATCTGGCTTCAAGACTAAGCTTGATAAGTTTATGGAGGGGATGATATGATGGGATAGCCTAATTTTGGCAATTAATTGATCTTTGACTATTAGCGGTAAATATGCCCAATGGCCTTTGATGGGATGTTAAATGGGGTGGGATCTGAGTTACTACAGAGAATTCTTTCTTGGGTGTCTGCCTTCAAAAAATCATACCCCCCAAAACAAGTTTCCTTTCTCACTCAAGCAAGGATACATTTTTCCCCCCAGCAAAATGAGAACATTTTATTTTTACTCTAGGGAGGAGAACATTTGCACAGACTGTTTTTCTGACAGTAGAAGTGATATAAATGTTGCACTCCAAAACAGAATATACACACCCACCCACATCCACCAGACCTTCAAACAGCACTTTGAGAGTGTGTGTGAATGGGGAGCAACACAATAGCACTTCGGACTATGGGCACAAACTTATCAGAGACAAGAGAAAATGTAGGGCTTTCTCACCAAAGAAGGGGAGTTAAATTCCAATCAAACCAGTAAACAAGCAAACACATAACTGACGTCCCTTTAGAGACTAAGGCTAGGTCTACACTACAGCGGGAGTCCGACCTAAGATACGCAACTTCAGCTACGTGAATACCGTAGCTGAAGTTGTGTATTTTAGGTCGACTTACCTGGCTGTGAGGACGGGGGAAAGTCGACCGCTGCCGTCGACTCCGCTGCCGCCTCTTGCCGCGGTGGATTTCCGGAGTCGACGGCAGAGCGATCAGGGATCGATTTTATCGCGTCTTCACTAGACGCGATAAGTCGATCCCAGAAAACCGATTGCCTGCTGCCGGACCCTCCGGTAAGTGTAGACAAGCCCTAAGAGACAGGCTGATAAATATACTGGTGCAATTATTAGGCTATCTAAAGGGATTAAATTTAAATGCTAGACGGTTGGTTTGCAACAATTAAAGTTGTATTAGGCTAAAAATAGCCTGACAGATATATGTGTTGCAATCTCACTTTCTCCTTTGGCTTTTGCTGTTGTTCAGTTTTACTTATATTTGAATTTACTGTTCAGTAAATATATGCTTTAAAAAAATTATGTTCCAAAATGACAGAGCATGTTTGAGATGTTTTGTCCCATGTGTCTCTGCCAGCTCTAGCTTCACCTGTGCTCCCTTGCCCTCATTTCATTTTTCCATTTCCTACTCAGTTTTTATTCCAACTTATTTGTTTAGGTTTTTCCTAAAAATCTTATTTAAACAGTAATGTAATCAGTACAATGGTTTGTGTTTGCATCTTACCAAATGAATGGTGGGTGGCCAAGGCAAGGGGCAGCACTGTAAGTATATACTGGGATAAATGAGGCAGGGATACCAGGCAGGCCTCCAATGGTGTCCAATCTTCTCTATGTTTCTGAAATTGTTGAAGCAAATGGTGTGCAGTACCAACCTGTGCACATGTGCATCCATCTCACATTCTTTCTGTCCTAATTCACGTTTCTCTTTCCCATTCTTATCCCTCCCTCGCTCCCTAACTCTGCTCATTTATTGCCCACAAAAATGACCCCTCCGCTGACTCAGCTACCCCAACCAATACTCAATTTCTGTCGTTTCTTCTTCCACCCAGGGGCTGGGGATTTTCTGTTTCTCCCCACAAAAGCTATGGGCAGAAGTGTGGCAGCATGAGGAAGTAGGTAACACTTCTTAAGAAGCCGCTGGGTTCTTTTTCTCTTCTCCTTGCTCACAAAAGACAGCTGCCTGGGGCCAGAGCCAGCTACTTAATTACTAGGCATATACTATTTAGCTTTGATCTCTCCATGCATCACCCTCTTCCCCTGATAACAGCCTGAGAGCTGTGGTGAGGCTGGCTGAGAGAAGAGTCAGCTAACCTATGCTGGCATTCACGTGATGCGACAAGCAGCAGCTTAAACTGCTCAGGTGCATTAGGAGTCCTGTACCTCTTGCTAAACCCAGGCCTTGGACAATGTAACTACCTTCCTTCCAGCCCCAACACCCAGCCTAGAAACAGCTTAATGGAGAACCCTCCAAAAGTGAAGCCATTTTGCTAGCAGTGTAAGTTGACTAATGTACTCTTCCCTTCGTGTCCTCTACCCTGTATAGCGTTGCTGTGCACTGTTCATCCATTGCCTCATTTCATCATAGAGGTGGATGCAGGTCAGTATAGGTGCTGGCACTAGGAGTCCTGGGGGTGCTGCCACATCCCCTGATTTGCGGTGGTTTCCATTATCTAAAAGGTTTACAGTTTGGTTCAGTGGCTCTCAGCACCTCCACTGTGCAAATTGTTCCAGCACCCCTGCAGGTCAGTGATGGGCGGAAGTGATCCCCTCTAGTTTGTAAAGCACTTTGTGATCACTTTCAATGAAAGGTCATAGGTACATGTCACTAATCATGGAAAATATCAGAACTTTCTTTTTTCTTGTTGACAAATATGATTTTTCCCTGTATGTCATGCAGTGGAGTCTTCTTTATGGAGAAATGTGTCAGACGCAGTACTGTAGGCATGCCTTATTTTATTTAAAATAGTCTAAAGAACTTTCAGCTCACCATACTGAATTTAATGACTCCTATCATTTAAGCAGATATATTTAGAAAAGAGCTGTTAACCATTGTCATCACTGATGTAGGTACAGTCTGTACAGTATTGACAGTGTGGCTCTGGAAATACCTTTAACCAACACAATAAAAAAGGAAAGGCAAAACAACTTTGAACACCAACTCACTTATACCTTTTCAGACTAAGCTTTTATTTTGATATTACAAACCATTTTTCTTTATTCACAAACCACGGTAGTGATATAAACACTAATTTCTAAAGACAGATATACACATTTCTGGGTTTGCAGATCTTTTAACCGTTTAGAAGTCACTATATTCCACACATGGTATTAATCATTTTGTTATAATTCATATTATTATTAGTTATTTATATAAGTGAACATGTTCCCAATATATATTGTAAAAAAATTCCAAACCCTTTTCTTACATAACTATTTCAGACATACATTTTAAAATGACGGACTTGAGCGTTATAGGAGTTTTAAAAAAAAAAAAAAAAATTCTTTTAAATTGGGGTGGGCCACACTATTTTTTTAGGGTT